TACACAATTGATGTGTGTATGGATTGGGATAACAGTTGTATGAGCCCCTAATAAAATGTTAAAAAAAAAAATTTAGTCACTCAAAATAGAAGAGAGACATATTGACCCCCTCTGGAAGGAGTTACAATTGTTATTAAATGTCTAGCGCCAAAGTCTTTATCTGGACTTCTCAAATACCTGGCTTGCCTCGGGAATGAGGATGGCATGCCCACCAATATATACACAACTCATTCATTCAGCATAGTTTTACTGAGCACCTACTAGGTGCTAGGGCTTGAGCTACAACTTCTGCGTACAAACCTAAGCATGAAAGAATCATTAAGCAAGGGGATTCCAGGGCATATTTTCATTCATAAACATTACTTGGGACAATGCAGAATATACCAGAGGGGCAAGAGTGGAGGCATGGAGACCAGATAGTAAAGAGGCTGTTGCACCTTTTCTAACAAAAGGTGTAGGCTACTCAGATAAAGGAGTGATTTTGTCCATTAAACAATTGGAATGAATGCAAGACATAGTTCTCTAGATCTAGCAAGACTTCATGAATAAATATGCTGAGCAGGGGATGGTGGTGCTAATCTTTGAAATAACACAAAGGGAGACTCATGATTAAACATAGGAGAGAATTATGAGCTAAGCCTTTGCACATAACAGATTTGCACTGTGTTGCGATGAATTTGTATCCCTTCTACAATTTCGATCCACTGGACAGTGGTGTTGGTTTGTTTTCATTCCGTCTTGCTTCTTGGTGACATGTATGCAAGGGAGCAGTTGAATATATAAGTCTGAAAGGAAGAGAATTTCTGGCTAGACCAAAGGGAAAAAAAAACCCAGAAGGCACAATAATTGGATTCATGCGTTGGAAAGAAAGATCAAAAGCGAGTTTGTAGTCTGAGGAAATCTGGCTGAAGCCTGAGTAACAGCAACATTGGAGGAATATCCAAAGACAGCAATCTAGTAAATGGATTGTAGAGGAGGAGTTTCCAGGGCTCAGGTGGTGCAAAGCCAAGCAGGAGAACGTGGTCTCAGAGAAAGCAAGTTCCCTCAAGAAGGTCAGCATGTTCAGGACGCTCGAGGACAATGAGGGCTAGCTAGTAATAATCAATGCTTGTCAGGATGGGCAACAAGGAAACGAGTGACAAACTCTTTGCACTGAAGAAAAAGAGGAAGCGAAAATTTATAGGACATTAAGAAAGTGTCTGATTAATGAGATCACCATGTTGCCTTCTAAGCAAGTGAGGGGAGTCTCTGTGCATACTAATTTCTCTCTTTTGCAGGCCTGTAAGGCTATATATTCTCAGGGAAAACACACACCCATATTTTGTTTTCTTTTCTCCAGCTTCACAGATGCATTTTCCTTTCAGAAAGTCAACATGATTTTGAAGTTAGTACTAGGTAATTATGCCTTGTCAAAAATCTAAGAAGGTTTAAGCCATACAAAGAATATAATACTGTTAATAATTCATGTTCAGTTTTAAAATGCAGTAGGTGCCTGACACTGCTTTATTACTCCTTAAAACCCAACATTTTCTCTGAAAAGAAACTTGAAGTTCAAGGATCTTAACTCAAAAGCGAGACAGTTAGCTTTTAACCCAGTTTTTCAGCCTCTTTCATGCTCATTCAACATTCCATGTTCTTCTGGTTTATGTCTGAAAATATATATATATATATATATATATATATATATATATAGTCTTGGGAAACCTATGGGGCCCTTCAACTCGATGGCCCTGAGTTTGATCTTTTGGGTTTTGATCCAGTGAGGTCCATCGTGGGACTCTAGGACTCCCTGACTACTAGAAATCCATCGCCTGTCATGCTGTTCCACGTAAGGAGAAAACCCAAATCCTCAACAGAGCGGATGAGGAAAAGGCTCAGCCGTCTCCCATGTAAACGCCCCATCAAACAGGAAACGATCAGTGCTCCCAGAGCAACGAAAACATTCGTTCAACCTGTCAGTCAGTTTCAACCTGTCAGTCAGTTTCACGACGAACGATGACTCAACAGCAGAAATCCCATGTAAGGCAGGAAAAAGACAGCGGCAAGCCGTGGTCACCCCTATTCTTCACCGCTGTTTCGCTTGTCTCCATGACGGTGGGTTTTACCTACCTATAGAGACAGGCATGGAGGGCAGTTCCCCTCTGTCCCACGAGTTGAAATGGAAAGAACAGCAACTAACACCAGAGAAAACCCAAAATCAAAAGATAAAAAGCCAAACTCATTACCATCTCGTTTTCCGTCAGGGTGCACAGTATAGCACGGATGAAACATGCAACTTTCCTCTAGTTCTTTAATGCTTCTTTCCCCCCACTATCATGATCCCAATTCTATCTTACAAATCCGGCTAGACCAGAGCATGTGTACTGGTACAGATAGGAACTGGAAGCACAAGGAATCCAGGACCATCTTCCCTTCAGGACTAGTGGTGAGAGTGGCGATACCAGAAGGGGGAAGGGAGGGTGGGACAGATGATCCCTTCAGGACCAATAATGAGAGTAACAATACCAGGAGGGTGGAAGGAAGGTGGGGGAGAAAGGGGGAACCGATCACAAGGATCTTCATATAACCTCCTCCCTTGAGGACGGACAACAGAAAAGCAGATGAAGGGAAACATCGGTCAGTGTAAGACATGAAAAAATAATAACAATTTATAAATTATCAAGGGTTCGTGAGGGAGGGAAGATGAGGGAGAGAGGGGGAAAATGAGGAGCTGATACCAAGGGGTCAAGTAGAAAGCAAATGTTTTGAGAATGATGATGGTAACAAATGTACAAATGTGCTTGACACAATGGATGCATGTATGGATTGTGATAAGAGTTGTACAATCCCCCAATAAAATGATTTTAAAAAACCCACAAAAACTACATTTGTAAATTAAACAAACAAAGATAGGGATGGTGAGCAAGCATGAGGGGAAAGCGGCGGGTCGATGGTTCCAGAGGGACCTGAGGGGGGAGGCGGGGGAGGAGCAGTGAGCAAACAACGCCACAGACAGGGGACAACTAGGGAATTAAAATCAACAACGACAGAGCAACGAAGTCCCCAGGGAGTTCCAAAAATAGAATTTGGGCCAGGGCTTGGCGCCCCAACAGACTCAACTGGAAAACACGCCTAAAGGCCAACAAGCAGTCCTTGAACTAACTGCAAGCTTTTCTTTCTTGTTCTTGTGTTTTATTTTGTTTTTTGTCATTGGCTTGTTGGTGTTTTCTTTTCTTTTGTTGCTTGGTTTTGCTCTGTCTTGTTTTTGTGCATGTTATTATCTCTGCAGGTCTGTCTAAATAAGATAGGCTAGATGAACAATCTGGAGGAGAAAACAACGGGACTGACAGTTCTGGGGAGACATGAGAGAGGGAGAGGTGGAGGAACAAACCCAGGGACAAGGGAATAACAAGTGATCCAAATTGGTGGTGAGGAGGGTATATAACGCCGGGTGGGGCTTCATCAAAAGCAATGTATCCGAGAGGAAATACTGAGAGCAGAATGGAGGGTGAGCATGAGAGTGAGATAGGAGGAAGGTGAAAGGAAACAGAAGAAATAGGAGGCAAAAGCTGTTTATAGAGGTATGATATAGGCATGTATGTATGTGAATATATTAATTTATAATGAAAGGGCTAGAGGCCAATGTACACATATTTATATGATAGGTATTAAGATAGCAGACGGACTGTGGGCCTCTACTCAAGGCCTCCCTTAACACAAGAACACTTTGTTCTGATAACTGGCACTCTTTGACACTCACCTTCCCAACGTGATGGCTGAAGACAAAATGGGTGCATAAGCAAATGTGGTGGAAAGAGCAGATGGTGCCTGGCTATCAAAAGATGTAGCATCTGGGGTCTTAAAGGCTTGAAGTCAAGCAAGCAGCCATCTAGCAGGGAACCAAGTAAGCCCAAGTTCAAGAAGCACACCAGCCCGTGTGACCTTGAGGTGTCGATGGGATCATGCACCAGGTATCAAAAGACCCCAAACAAACAAATATATTGACATGAACGAGACACAAAGCCCATCTGTAGACAACTGGACATCTTCCCACAGAAGGGTTATAAGGAAGGGATGATTCAACCAAGGTGCAGTATAGCATGGACAAAACACATCGCTCCTCTAGTTCCTGGAAGTAAGGCCAGGGCTCTCGGTGTGTCCTAGCCCCTCAAGCAAGGCCCAGCTGGAGGGGTGAGCATTCACTGGTTGACTGTGGGAATTCACCCATCGGAGAGTCTTTGAGGAGCCGGGCAAGGAGCTCAATGCTGAAGACTGGCAAGAGAAACAAGGAAGCTGTGATCCCTGCGCTGTGGAAGGGAGCAACTTTAAACTCTATGTGAAGCACGGCGTGAAGCTGCCATTCCTGGGCTGTGCACAAGGTCCCGCAGTAACTCAAGCAACTAGTTCCACCGAGAGCAGCGTGGAAGGGACTCGTGTTTTTAACCGTTGTGTTGATATAGAATTCACGTACCGTACAATTCAGTGGGTTCACTATATTAAAAAGAACTGTGCAGTCACCACCAGAATCCATTTGAGAACATTCTTGAACCCATTATGATTAGCTCCCCATTACCCACCCCTCAACACCTTCTGACATAACCCTAAGGAACTATTAACCCGGTTGTTGTCTCTATGGATTTCATTTAGAGAAATCCACACCCTAAAAACAAATAACACAAACTTCAATCCATGGAAGAGCAGAAGACAAGAGAAACTATAACAAATTTAAAAAGGGGTCAAAAGGAAAAACAAATGACAGGATGCTCATTTTAACCTAACCGCAGGGGCAGGAGTCCGCTTGTGGAAGTGACCCCTGCGGGTCCTTGGAGACCCTGGGGGTGGAAGCTGAGGAGCAGAGCTGAGAGGGAGGGGTCCCTGAGCAAAGGGTGTCAACACAGAGCACGGCGTGTGTGGCTCTGCAGAACAGCAAGGGTCTGACAATGGCAAGACCCTAGTGGGGCAGGTGCAGAGAGTAACTGGATGAACAGGATAAAGGCTGGCTATCAATTACCCTGGGTGCCAAGTTGAAAGTCCAGATTTTACCTTGTAGATGATGGGTGGAGTAGGTGGCATGTTCGCCTTTATTAGCTGAGGAAGGTCACTCCAGCTGCAATGTGGAGGACCGCCTAGAATGAGGACTACTAGACAGGAAAATCAATAAGGGGACTACTTACTACAAGAATCCCAGTAAGAGGGTGGGGAGCAGAACTGTCACCTGGGACAGGGAAGTCTTCCAGGAAAAGAGGAATGGCTCGGAGCTCAGGGGACAATGGTACCAGGGGACACGCACAGACCAACAGAAAATCCTACTGTCGGTGCCAAGAAACCAGCCTAAATCAGCCCAAAACCACTTATTTACCGACTGCCAGGAAGGCGTCAATTTAAGTGTGTTCTGTGAACGAGAGCTACACTTCCAGGTCAAAGCCACAGATGAAAGTGATCAAAACCGGGAGCGATGAGCAGAGGTAGAAGCATCTGCCCAGCGTATTTAAGAACTGCTTAAGAAATGGGGAAGACGCCCCCAGCACAGAATCCTGTTTTCATTCTGTCAACAGAATCCCCACTACTTTATCTCCAGTTAGCCACTAGAAGGTAACCCTCCACCCTGCTGCCCGTGGCCCCCGCTTTAAACTTCATAAAGAGTCTCCTCCCTGCACAGACAGAAAGAGCACTTGCACACCTCCCCAGGCCCTCTGCTAGGCTCTCTCTGCTGCCACATTTTGACCGGTAGGCCTTCGTTTCAAGACAGCAAGCAAGTCACAAACTCTCCTGTTAATCAAAACAAAACCCTAACGTGGTGACCCAAATTCCAAATACCTTCACCCAGAATCTCCCTGCTTCCTGATACATATAAAACTGTGCCACGTGGTCCACCTTCCTTTCATTCTGCCACCAGGGCACCGGGTTACACAAGACACAGAAGGAAGAGAGTGCTGCGAATGACCTGCGGGGATGCGTGGAATGCCTGCTAGTGAGCGGGAGTCCTTCAATGCACGAACCACGGGCAGCGCCAGCCAGGTGGCCCCGGGGAGCAGGGAGAGCACTGGATTCCATTACACAAGACCTTTCTGGGCTATTGCAAAAGTCTCAGGCCTTCCCCTCTCCACCCAGCCAGCCAAGTTTCTACAAACCACTCTTCCTGGGTAACTCCCCTGCTCAAACCTCTGGTTGACACCCACTGTCTGAGCTCCCCAAAAGGCTCAGCCTCCCTGATCTATCCAACAAGCTCCTCAGCTCAAAGCAGCCAGGTCTTGCCCAACCAAGGCCTGCTTACCTCCTACCTCTGTCCTTTGATCCGTACTCAAGAGATACACCTCTATTTCTCCCCACACCTCGTGGTTCTACATCCTGCTGTATCTTAAAATCACCACGCGAGCTTTTCAAAGTACGTCCATGCTGGGACCCACTGCACCCGCCAAGACTGATCGAACGGGTCGGGAATGGGGCCCAAGCACCAGCAGGTTGGGAAAAGCTCCTCAGACGGTGGCGATGTGGAGCCAGAGTTGAGAACCTGTGGCCTGGCCCATTACCCATTTTCCAAAGTCCAGCTCAAGGCCCATCCCTGACTCTCACTGGTCTTGTCCTCCTCGGAAGTCCTGGACACGGAGAACCTGGACCTCACACATCTGCCACGCGCAGCCCAGCTTGCCTGACCTGCTGCCAGACAGGTCATTCTTCCACGCGTCTCTAGTTACAGCCAGAAGATATTTCAGAGACATGAAGAGCAAGGCTAGGAGAATAAAGGAATCTTAGAACTAGCAGGGAATTCCGGAAGCACGTAGATGAGGGGCTCCTGAACTCTAGGGGTCCACAGGCAACTTCTGAAAATATGGTAAAGCCAAGAACTTTCTCCCCAGAAATAAGCACACCTACATAACATTCTGCACAGAATTCCAGGGAGCTCAGAGGCTCCTTCAACAATGCAAGTTGTTCCTTATGGGACCATGACTCAGAAGCGAGAATTGGGGTAACATGTAGACACAGCGGTTGGGGGCGGTAAATGACCTGACTATGGCCAAAAGTGGAGGCAGAGCTGGATCCACAGCCCTGGTCTCTTGACCATTCTAGTCAATTCTCTTTCTTTGGCATCTCCACTGGTGGCTTCAAACCCCGCAACAATTCTGATGATCTATTAGGCCAGTGCTTCTCCACCTTCCTCATGCCGCGACCCTTAAATATAGCTCCTCATGTGGTGGTAACCTCCCAACCATAAAATTATTTTCGTTGCTACTTCATAAAAGTCATTTTGCTACTGTTATGAATCAGGCAGGCAACCCCAGTGAAGGGGTCGTTCGACCCCCAAAGGGGCCACGACCCACAGGTTGAGAACCACTGTCCCAGGCAAAAGCTGGCCCATCAGAGGTGCCATGCTCGGCATGGGGTCACATTAGCCGTTCTAGCAGCAAGTGCTGGAAGTCACGTGACTAGAAACACTTAGTCACTGACAGTTGGGTAGGCATACTAAATACCGATGCTTTGAGACAAATGAAATCTGCAGCCTCCTTTTCCTCCCACAGTTTCTCAAGGGTCAATGTGTCCTCACGCAGAACTCACCCGCATCGCCTTGAGAGCTGGGCTGTCATCCCCCAGGGCCAGGCGGGAAGCGAGGGTCCGGAAGTCGGCCAGGCCCAGGATGGGCAGGTACTCGTGGTTCAGGCTGCTGTCGCTGGCAATCTTCTGCTGCACTTTCCTCACTACCGGCAGGACCCAGGGCTGACAGTCGTCCGTGCGGTACGCTGGCGCATGGGAGAGAGGGCACAACACAACAGAGGCGTCTCAGGCATCGGCGACGAGACAGTTTGCAGCTGTGACCTGGAGCAATGCCATCCCCTTCGGAGTGGGACAGTGAAGGGAATTCAAGTCCGTGCACTTACTGAACGAGGCCTCCTTGGGGCCAGGCTTGGGGCTCGGCGCTTGGCCACCTGGCACAGTCATGGTTCCTAGCCTTCTGGAACTTAGCGCTCTTACATGGAAATGACCCCCCAACAGGAAAATGCTGGCATGCAACTTGGGAAAGAATGCAGGAAAGCATTCGGTGTGCGCATGTATAAGCAGCCCTCGGTTGACAAAGAGACCCGTTCTGGTCTTTAGGTCGTTCAGTGCAATGTGGAGGTGAGTCGGAATAGGTGCATTGGTGCTTACTTAGCCTTAGTCACGGCAGGTTAGTGCAAGAAAAAGCCTTTCCAGTGATTTAAATGTGCCTTCAAAGTGCAGCAGTGAAAGGGGCTGCGATGGGGAAGGTGTCGTGGGAAGGGATCACTGAGAATCAAAGTCAAGTGAACGGCAGTCAGTGAGTAAGCAAGCCAGCGAGTGAAGCGCCATCCGTGGGTTCGGAGCCCTGGTGGCACAGTGGTTTCCACCTTAGGCAGCTAACCGCAAGGTCAGCAGTTTGACTCCCCAGCCACTCCGAGGGAGCTACATGAGGCGCTCTGCTCCCGTGAAGAAGTACAGCCTTCGGGACCTACAGGGGCAATTCGACTCTGTGGCAGGGCTGCTACAAGGTTGCTACGAGTTAGACTCCCCGCCTGGCAGTGGGGGTGTTGGTTGTTATTTCAAAGTGAGGACAAATCTACAGAACAGGAGAAAGTAAGTATGGCCTGCCTGTAAGTCACGTCGTCTGTGAGTCAGACGTTCAGAAGCAGGGCTGCCTGCATTACCGGCACACGGAGCTCTCACACGGAGGTCTCTGTGGTTATTGGCCCAACAATTCTTTCTTCTGCATCCCCGTCCAGTTTCTCCTACCGCAGCCACACTACCACCACCACCACCATTTTCCAAATCTCACATACTCTCACCAAAGAAATCCATTCTTCCAGGGGAAACTGCAGAGGGCAAACGTCTGTGAAAACGGGCCACCTCGAGCAGCGTACGTGCCAAAGTTCTCCCTTTGCTGCCCTGCAGCCAAGCGTTCTGATCCCGTCCACTACAGCCACTCAGAGCTCCATCGACATGACAACCTGCCGGCCCTCACTCACATGATCACGCGGAGACCGCTTAGCGGCTTGGTTTGAATTCAGGGTTGCGGTACAGCAGAGCATTATACAGTGTTTCCAGGAGAAGGCTCAAGCTCCCTCCAGGGGCTCTCCCTTCCCGGCTAAAGCAGGGCTGCACACCTGACTCTACCAGGCAGGGACAGCGTCTCCTCTCTGGACACAATCCTGTTCCTATTCACCTCCCGGAGCCATTTCCAGAAAAGGGCCAGGTGCTGTTTCAGACGCCCTCTGCACCTTCAAACAGAACAGGGAAGGGAGAGACAGAGGGTGGAAAGAGGCCACACCTCCTCCTCCTGGTCTAGAACAACAGCAACGGAACTAACAAATGCCCACCACTCCAGGTTCTGGCAGCTGCTACAGAACCAGCCATCCAAGGACCCACTTACACACCTGTGCCTGCTAGTGTGTGTGCCCACTCTCACTCGCCCACACTCTGTCTTTCATTTGTTTTTTCGGACCGTTAGGAACTAATCCTACCATTCCATAGATCACACCAAGCAGTATTGCACAATTGCTACCATAATCTGTTCCAAAACGTTTTCTTCCCTCTTGAATTCCTTGATATCAGCTCCTCCTTACGGCCCCCCCCCCTTATCTACCTCCCCCCGCCCCATACCCCTCAAGAACCCTCATTATTCTACTTGGTGTCTCTAAAGGTCCATCCAACCTGGGTTTCGTATACCAAAAACATAGAAAAACACATAACAAAGATTCAAGAAGGCTACCCACATTGACAGATTACAACAGAGATAAGCCCAATATGAAAACACACACGTGTACAGGAAATATTAAAAACCGGATCAAGTACATTCTCTTTCTCTCGACATCAGCTAATATTTACTGTTTGACTTTCCATCCCATTTCATCTGCATCACATCTACCGATCAAAATCAATCAAATTAATAATATTTAATTTGATGTACAGCAAACTCCTATGCCCTTCTTCTATACTAAAAGAATCTACTGAACAATCTCTGTTGATTGTAAAAAAAAATTTAGCAAAGCTCAAAAGGTAAATAAAAAAGAATATGTAATCCTAGTATTCAAAGATAAGATGTATGAAAATGTTGATGTATATATTCCAAGCTTTATTTTAGGGGGGTATATTCTTTTATAAAACAAAGGATCATATTAAGTAAAAACTAAACTCACTGCCATCAGTCAATGCTGACTTGCAGCGCCCTCACGTGGGTTCCTAAGACTGTAACTGTTTAGAGGAGTAGGAAGCGCAGTCTTTCTCCACAGGATCGCCTGGGGGTTTTCAACTGCTGACCTTGTGGATCGCAGCCCAATGCAGAACCACTCCACCACCAGGGCTCCTTATGGGATCAAATTGCATACAGAATTTTTAACATTTTTTTCCCACTTAAATATGTACCAGTATTATAAATTAATTTCACCACTATTCACTATTCTAATAGGTAATATATTTACATACCTCCACCCCATTCTTATCTCCCATCTGCCTAGTTCCCAAATCTTTCCCTTCCCTAGACAATTGATTTTAGTTTCATTCATGAATTTCTCTATGCACACAGAAGTCAGTACAGCTTATTTCTTCTCTTTTTACACAAAAGATAGCATATAAGGGGATTTCAAAAAATTCAAAGAAATTTTCCATTGTCTTTTCATTCCATTGTCCACGAACTTCACAAAAACTCACTAACATCTGGTTAACCCTTACTCACAGTAACCCTATAGGGCAGAATAGAACTGTTCCCTGGGGTCCCGAGACTGTACATCTTTACGGAACCAGTAAGCTTCATCTTTCTCCCGCCGAATAGCTAGTGGGTTTAAGATTCTGACCTTGCAGTTAGTTGACAAAGGATTCACTATGCCACCAGGATTCCACAAACTTTTTGAAGGCCCCCTTGCATAGCATACTACACATAGTATACTATGGATATCAAATGACCAGGTCTGTCCTTGGAAAAGTACAACCAGAATGTTCCTCGACCGTCAGGACAGTGAGGCCTTGTCTCCCCTTATCAGAAGCGCATCGTGCTCGGTGTACAGTCGAGGGTCAGTGAAAAAGAGCAGGACCTGCAGTGACATGGATTGACACAGTGGCTGCCTGCGACAATGGGCTCCATTGTTTGACCGAGAGGCTGGCACTGGCCCCAGCAGCGTTTCATTCTACTGTACACGGAACTCTTTTTTTTTTTTTTTTAACATTTTATTAGGGGCTCATACAACTGTTATCCCAATCCATACACACATCAATTGTGTAAAGCGCATTTGTACATCGTTCTCAAAACATTTTCTCTCCATTTAAACCCCCAACATTAGGTCCTCATTTTTCCCCTCCCTCCCCGCTCCCCCCTCCCGCATGAGCCCTTGATAGTTTATAAATGGGTATTTTGTCATATCTTGCCCTGTCCGACGTCTCCCTTCATCCACTTTTCGGTTGTCTGTCCCCCAGGGAGGAGGTCACACACAGTTCCATGTAATCGGTTCCCTCTTTCCTACCCATTCTCCCTTTACCCTCCCTGTTTTGCCACTCACACCACTGGTCCTATAGGGCTCATCCGTCCTGGATTCCCTGTATTTTCAGTTCCTATCTGTTGTACACGGAACTCTTATGAGTCAGGACTGACTCCCAGGTCCTTCACGGTAGCAGCAGCATACTCCTTGCTTTTTCCACTTGAAGATCTTTTCATATCTGTATATGGATTGCTCTGGTTCTGCTTTACAGGTGCATAACTGACGAATGTGCTGTAATTTACCAGTCTCTTCTTAATGGACATTTACCATATATTCTGGAGTATAAACCAACCCGAATATCAGCCAAGGCACCTAATTTTACCACCAAAACTCCATAAGAAATGTGCTGGAAAACTCGGCTTATACACGAGTATAGACGGTAAGTTGTTTCCGATTTTTATAAATTATTTTTATTTGAACATTTACACATTCTAAAATAATACCTTCGTGAACTTGTACATACAGCACATCTCTCACATGTATGCAAATATATCTGTAAAAAGCAGGATTGAAAATGCAATGAATGGGTGACGGCTCTATGTATTTCTGGTTTGGCAGTTATTTCAAAATTGTCCTCCATGAGAATTATCCCAATTCACACTCTTACCAGCAACGGTTAAGAGTGCCTATTTCCCTTTAGCTTTACCCCTTGAACTTTTGCCAATATGAGATGAAACGGTACATCATGATCATTTTAATTCATGTATCTTATTATGAATGCAATTGGGCATTTTTCATATGTTCATGTGTCATTTATAACATACTTGTTTTAACTTTTTATTATGAATCCAGGGAAGGGTTGCCAAGCTATTCATTTCCATTCAGCAATTCATATTTTGTCTAATGTCCCCGATTGCGATCCCCACAACATAACATCGCTTCTCCCACTTCTGCCCCAGTACTTCCTGCTTCTGTTCCTCCTCCTTTCCAAACCCTTCTAAATGTTATACTTGGGTAAATGCTGCCCTTTTGATCTCAATGGTTGATTATTCTAAGGTGAGCATACCTTCTTAGTGTTATTGTTCCCCTTATAATAAATCTATTGTTTGGTTGTAAATGGAGCCAGGCTGGTGAGTTCACTTCCAGACCTGAAGGGTAACTGAGCACCAGAGTGTCTGGGGTGCCACTAGTCTCAATCCAACCAGTAAGCCTGGTCTCTCTTATGATTCTGCATTTCGGTCCACATTTTTCCCCCTCTCTCTGGAGGACCTTGGAATAGGACCCCTTTCAAAGCAGCTGGCAGTGGTTTCCAGGCACCGTCTAGTTCTCCTGGGCTCGAGGTTTTGGAGACTGAGGTGTGTGTGGTCTGTTCGTCCACTGGATCAATTCTTTCCATGTGTCTTTGATTTTGATCACTCTTCTTTCTTCTGGACCGAAAAACACCAAGAGTTGCACGTTAGAGGGCTGCACACGTGCTTTTCAGGCCCCGGGGCTACTCATCCAAGTAGGAAATGTACCGTTGTCTTTGTGGATGAGGTGATGCCAGCTGATCTTGGTATCCCCTAAGACTACGGTCCTGAGCCCATTGGTCAGGTCACTGCTGCATTTCCTCAAGGTGTATGGATATATCTAAGATATTTCCATAACTGCGTCCCTAACATATTTCACCGCATTGAGATGTGTGCAGCAAAGGTAAATATACACGAATCTCTGTCGATCTCTCTAAATCTGTGGGTATAATAATCCTACTCCCTCACACTTGCTCAGCCTGTATGTCTATCCGTGCATCTTCATCCCTTCCTTTACTTAATTTATTAACCAATTCTACTGCTTCCAGTTATTGGCTATTATAAACTACTGAGTTGAATACTCTTTTATCTTTGCACACATTCATGATTTCTTTTCTTTTAGGAAAAGCTTCATGTAAAGTTATGAGATCAAATTGTATACAATAAATTCAAGACGTCATAAGATCATTTTCAATTTCACAACTGTCCTCTCTTCTATCTGCTAACCTTATCCCTCGAGAATGTGTCATCTCAGTGACATGACCAAATAAGAGTAATTTATAAACTATCAAGGGTTCATGAGGAAGGGTCGCGGGGAGGGAGGGGAAAAATGAGGAGCTGATACCAAGGGCTGAAGTAGACAGAAAATGTTTTGATAATGATGAGGGCAATAAATGTACAAATATGTTTGACACAATGGATGGATGTATGGATTGTGGTAAGAGCTGTACGAGCCCCAGATAAAAAAATTTTTTTAAAAGTGTCATCTATAAATTTGATATCAATTTAGTAACGAAAATGTGGACAGGGCTCCAAACTAAAGCAATCACTAGGCCAACTAATGGTCTCTGGGTGGGTGAATGTAGTAATATTGTCACACTACCCGTATTATACCACTTACCCTCCAACATAAGAACAATTGGATTTTGTTCCACATTTTTCTCCCACTCGACCTAGGACCTTCTGATGTGATTCTTTCCAGAGGATTTAATTGTGGTAGCCAGGCACCATCTAGTTCTTATGGTCTCCTGAGCTCAAACATAAGAGCAAAAGGGATGAAGGAGCAGCACTGGGCGGTGTGTCCTTCTGTTGCACATAGGCCATTATGAGTCAGAAGCAACTCACCTACTGTATCGAAATGAATTCCCAGTCAACAAGTTAAAAAACCAGCTTTACCAGGTGGGATTTGGTCTGGTTTCTTTAAAGGCACACTAAGCTAGCTACTTCCAAGAAAGACTTGTCCTTATCTATTAGCACAAGGTAGTACGAGATCACCCTAACACCACAAGGCTGCCATGGTTCACCATCCTCTTGGAACACCCTTTTTTTAACTTGTTTGCAGAGGCGCCCTCATTGTTTTAAATGTCCTTGAAGGTGCCGAATTTTTCCAATGAAAACAAGGAGGGATGGAAAGTGAGCTGCCATCCCTTCTTCGCCCCCTGCTCTTTCTGCTCCTTTTTAATTAAGGTCTATCCACCACATCTGTGTGTCAGTTAGTTAGGTGGATGCAGTGTTGGTTAAATGATCACAGAAACACTTTAGATTTCTATCACAGAACTTAACACCACTTGATTTTAAATTCCTTGAATGCCTCAGTCTTGGGTGTGGGTTCCCCCCAAAACCCTACTCCCCCACCCTGTGCTTAAAATTCCTGAGTGATGCCAGGTAAGGGCTCAACCCTAGGCCAAAGTTCCCCAACGTGAAAAGTCCTACTTAATCCATTTTCCAGAAAGTGGGACCATTAGGCTTCTGATTTTTTCCCCCCTCCATTCTATCCCTCGCCAGTTCCCTTCTTTAAGTGACAAAGGGATGTAGTATCAGAAAATCTGAATTTGTGTCGCGGCTGCTACACCTGCGCTGTGACTTTGGGCACATCGTCCAAGGCCTTATCCCCATTGATAAAATAGACAGTAGGATCCTCTGACCTCCACGCCACCCCCACCCAGCTCCCAGCTGGACCTCAGCCTCTCCTACAGACACCAGGTCCTGGGCTGGGCCCGTTACACTACCTGGGTCGCTCACATTCCTGAGCCCTGCATCCTTACCTCCCACTCCTAGGTTGACCTTGCGGGGGTCTGGATCCTCCCGGAAATCTGCGGTCAGCTTAAACACAAGCACCGGCGGGGCCTGCGGCACCTCGGCAAAGACGGATGGAGGAGCCATCGTTAGAGGACCGGAGTCTGTCCGGAGGTGACACCGTGCGCCCGGAGCTCGCCGCTGGTCTGGCAGGAGCTGCTGGAGGAGACGCTCACCTTCACCCAGCCTGCAGGGGGCGGGTCCGCGGCCTCCAATGGGCGAGCCGCGTCTGGAGCTTGGCAACGCGGCTAACCAATAGCGAGCTTCTGACACACTCGAGCCGGAGATGCTATGAGCCAATCCAAGAAGAGAATCTTCTCGACGGCCGGTCATAATGCAGCCAATTCCATTTTCGGGGGCTCTCGTGGGGGCGGGCACTAGGCCTGATTGGCAGACACATGCACCTATCGCTGGGCCTGTTATTCCTTCCGTCTCCGAGGCCGGCCGTCGCGGTTGGAGGAGGTTGGCGGCTGGTGCTCCTCCAAAGCCACCTCTTCGACCTTCCCGGCCCTGGAGACCCAGGGGAGGTGGCTGGCGGGAATTCCGGAGAACAGGTCTCCCCGGTCCCTGGCAGGTGCCCTCGCTGCCCGGGCAGTGCGCACGTTCCGGACCCAACTTGGCTTGACCCCGGCCCCGCGTGGCCTGCAGGTCTCCGGGATCCACGCCCAGAACGGGAGCCCTCACCTGCGGGCACGGGCGTGGGCGGCGTGTTTGGGTCGCGGACCCGGGAGACCCTGCTAAATGTTAGGGGGGACCGTGAATTTCCCTCTCCAGGCTTCCTCCTCCTTGCACCCACGCTGATCCCGCTGCCGTCAGCTGGCCGGCACCCAAGCTTTTAGTCACCCTTCGCCAGGCTTTCCTCCCTCCGCGCGCCACCCCAGCCCCGCTCTCCTCCTCCTGACCTTGGAGACCGGCGCAAACGCCCGCTTCTCCATCCCCCTGTTCCAAGCGCCCGCTCCCGTTGCTGTGCTTCTGTTCCCAGTGACTGATCATACAATTCTGGGTGTACAGTTTGGCGGTTAAGAGCCCTGGCATTTCCCATTCTGCCATCTGACGCCGTGAGGTTAGGTTCAGGGTGGAAAATTTAGAGAAGGGCTGAGGCGGAGGATGGTTGCAGGATCCGAAGAATAAAATCAGCCGCCGAATGTAGGCATTGCTGAGTTGGTGTATGCTGTGCTGTGTATATGTTCAATATTTTTTTAAATAAAAATTCTTAAGAACGGACTCTGGAGCCAAGACGGCCAAGCTTTAAATTCTGGTTCTGCTACTTTTTAATTTAGGCGAGTGTAGGCAAATTACCTGTTTTCTAATCTCTAAAGTGGCGGTACTAATGTTTTCCTCAGGGTTGTTGGAATTCTATGAGTCGGGATAGGTAAAGTGTTTAGGAGCCTGGGTAAGAGTGCCTGAAATGTTTGCTATTGTTTTCAGTGCATATCCACCACACCCCTTGGGGGGAGCTGCTTTGGACTAGGAATCATACCGCGCATGAGTCTCCCTCCTTGTCTTGCATTTAGTAAAACTCCCTGCCATGGAATCGATGCTGACTCACAGTGACCCTATAGGTCAGGGGAGAACTGCCCCTGTGAGTTTCTAAGACTCACTTTTTACAAGAGTAGAAAGCCTCGTTTTTCTCCTATGAAGCAGCTGTTCGCTTCAAAACTGCTGACCATGTCGTTAGCAATCCAATAACTACCAACACCCCCGGTCGCCCCAGGTATCTTGAGTAAGCCCTCAATAAATAGTGGAAGGCGCCAGTTCTCTTGATGAGGAAAATAAAATACCTCAGCTTCTATTTGGATGATGTGACAAATTCAAAACAAAACCCCAAACACCCTGACCTTTCCATTCAAAGTATCCACCCGAGCCAAAGGAACGTGGTGCAACATCTTGTCAGCCTTGGCAACACCTCATCACCTCTGATTTTAAAGGCCAGGGTCCCACAGTGTTTGATTGTCATCGTCTCCTCCCCACCCCACCCCCAAAAAGGACAAGTTCAATACTAAACATCAAATGAGTTGAACTAAAGGACAAGTTCAATACTAAACGCCAACTGTTGGTACTGCTGAGGCAAAGGGCAGCTGCTGAGGAGGGTGTTTTTTGCCCAGCCATCTCAGAGTTTGGTTTAAAATCACGATCTTCCCAGCGGTCGTCAGCCCATATCATGGTCACTCCTTACGTCATTGCCTGAGAGAAAAACAACCCTGGATTACCTAAACACTATGAACTTGGCTAAAACCAAATAAATATTTATTGGACAGTAAGCAGCTCTGTAACCAAATCAATACTGAGAAGGGCAAAACCCACTGCCCTTGACTCGATTCTGACTGATAATGACCCTGGTAGGACCCAGTAGAACTGTTCCATTGTGTTTCCAAGGCTGTCAATCTTCGGGGGAATAGACGCCTCATCTCTCTCCCACAGAGCAGCTGGTGTGTTTGAACCACTGACCTTGCAGGTCAGCAGCCCAATGGATAAGCCACCATACCACCAGGGGCTCAAGAGGCATAAAGAGAGTCCCATGTGCAGTTTTTCTTCATGCCCTCCTTGGAAATGTGATTTTCAGAAATGGGCAAACGGGATAGTAAGGCGGGAAAGAAGGTTGCCTATTAAGGGTGTTCTGCGTCTCCCACAGCCTCCCCCACGCCCCCAGCCAGAACATGAAGTTTTGAGGCAATGGCTTGAAGTTGAGTAGCCTCCTGTCTTGAGTCCTGCAAGTTGCCCTTCAAAATGAGATGCCAATCTTGAAATAAACAAGATGCTTCCCAGGCCATGGCTAATTTTAACACTTTGACTTAGAATTGACTCAACACTGCCTCCCCACTAAATGGCTAATTCAAGAATCTCTTGAGAGGCAAACTGTCCAGACCAGTAAGCAGCCAGGCAGAGTGAGTGTCCAGGGACCGGTCAGTGAAGGGCAGAAGGCGTGACCAGTACTAGCCCAGCTTCCTGAATTCATTTTGTAACTCTCTTCTATTGACCTCCCTACCATTTCCTATCTTCTATTTTTCTCATTTTTCCTTCCAGAGAACTTCCTACCATTTCTCTCCTATCTTCTCATTTTTATTCTTCCTTTAGCTTGGACTCACTTGGCAGTCTGAAGTCTCCAGGGCAGGGCAGGGCAGCACTGCCCCAGAGGGGCAGACCCAGGGCAGGCAAGAGCAGTAGTGGGCATTGCATGAACCACGAAGCAAATCGACACCTGCTTCTTCGATTCAATCTCGACCCTGAAGACTCAGAATGTCTAAAGTTAGGAACAAGCCAGAGGAGGGAGGAGCTCATCACATTGGGTACTCAGCCTAAAGTACTTCGGAATAGTTCTCTGTGGGCAAATGCCATCACTCCTATTGCTATTTAGAAGCCAAGCTGTAGACTGCACACATGGTCCATTAAAACCCCACGCTGTGAGAGACCCCACGCTCAAGGGTGACCTTGTGACAAATAGTGGACAATACGGTCAGCAGAGAGCCCCGGGGCTTCTGTCTTCTCACAGGGCGTGAGTTTGCTCTTGCTGAGGAAAATGATTATCGACTCAACCGCTCTCCCCTTGAACTAGCCAGTCCTGGGTGGGCCTTGGTGGGACCATTGCCCCTTGCTTCTCTCCCTCCCTCCTCTCGAACTGAACCGTGAGGGTCTCCTCCTCCTTAGAAGAGCACAGCCAATGAGGCCGAGAGTGGACGGCTTCTAACGTTGGACCGGAACTGGCCCTGCTCAGGTGCAAGGGTTTTGATATTTTAATGGCTGGTGAGACCTTTGGGTGACAGATATCAACAGGACCGATCCTACTTGATGAGTGTAAGTTTCAGGGCACCATTGAGAAATGTTAGTGTTATATGGTTTGCATACATTACTTGAGGAGGCCCCCAACCCAGGCAAATGCCCCTGCCCTTGAGTCCATTCTGACTCAGCGACCCTGCAGGACAGGGTAGAACTGCCCCTGTGGGTTTGAGACGCCCCGTCTCATGGGAGTAGAAAGCCCCGTCTTTCTCCTGAGGGGCTGCTGGTGGTTCCGAACCTCAGACCTTGCAATCAGCAGCCCAAGCCGTAACCACTACACCAGGGATCCTACTTGAAGAGAAGTAGAGGCCAAAGCTTGGCCTCTGGGTGTCGGTTTCCTCATCTACAACAAGGTAGATGATAATGGTTGTACCTCGTGGGTTAGAGTCCTTGGGTGATGCAGGTAACAGTTGGCTGCTAACTGAAAGGTTGCAGGTTCGAGCTCACCCACAAGCACATGTGAAGAAAGGCCTAGCAATTTGTCTTGGGAAGCCAGCCACTAAAACCCCTCTAGAACCATGGTGACATAGTGTAGTACGCATTGGGCTGCTAAGCACAAGGTCATCAGTTCGAAACCACCAGCTGCTGAGAGGGAGAAAGGAGGCTCTCTACTCCTGAAATGAGTCAGTCTCAGAAACCCACAGGGGCAGTTCTACCCTGTCCTGCAGGGTCGCTACGAGCCGGCATCGACCCGATGGCAGTGAGCTTGTTTTTTTGTTTTAATCGTTTTATTAGGGGTTCATACAACTCTTCTCACAATCCATATATACATCAATTGCTAAAGCACATTTGTACATTCATTGTCTTCATCATTCTCAAAACATTTCCTCTCCACTTAAACCCCTGGCATTAGGTCCTCATTTTTCCCCTCCCTCCCTGCTCCCCACTCCCTCATGAACCCTTGATAATTTATAAATTATTATTTTGTCATATCTTACACTGTCCGACATCTCCCTTCATCCACTTTTATGTTGTCTGTCTCCCAGGGAGGAGGTCACTGTAGATCCTTGTAATCGGTTCCCCCTTTCCAACTCACCCTCCCAGTATCGCCACTCACACCACTGGTCCTGAATGGATCATCTGCCCTGTTTCCAATTCCTATCTGTACCAATGTACATCCTCTGGTCTAGCCAGATTTGTAAGGTAGAATTGGGATCATGATAGTGGGGTGGGGTTGTGGGGTGAGGAAGCATTTAGGAACTAGAGGAAAGTTGTATGTTTCATCGTTGCTACATCGCACCCTGACTGGCTCGTCTCCTCC